TTTAATTTGAATGTCTCCCATGACTAATGATGTCGAGCATCTTTTCATTTGCTTATTTGCCATTTGTGTATCTCTTAGAACTGTCTGTTCAAATACTTTGCCCATTTTAAAAATCAAGTTGTTTGACTTATTATGGAATTTAAGAGTTCTTTATGTATTCTGGATGCAAGTCCTTTATGAGATATATGTTTTGCAAATATTTTTTCCAAGTAGAGGAGCAATTCTTACGTTAAGGTGCAGGCAAATACCTGAGTTCAGGGGAGATAAAAAGACCCAAATCTAGGTAGTCAAATCTAGTTAGAGTCTCTAGCTTCAAAAAAATAGTGAAAAGGGCTGGCCCTGTGGCTGAGTGGTTAAAGTTCCAGGGGCTCTGCTTCAGCAACCTAGGTTCACAAGTTCGGATCCTGAGGGCAAACCTACTCCACTCATCAGCCATGCTGTGGAGGCATCCCACAGATAAAATAGAGGAAGATGGGCACAGATGTTAGCTCAGGGCCAATCTTCCTCAAGCAAAAAGAGGAAGATTGGCAATAGATGTTAGCTCAGGGCTAATCTCCCTCAGACAAAAAAAAAAAAAAAAAAGAGGAAGATTGGCAACAGATGTTAGCTCAGGGTGAATCTTCCTCACCAAAAAAGAATAATAAATAAATAATTTTTTAAATAACAATAAATAAACCTTCTGTGGGCGTCAGAAAGTATAAAGCATATTCAAGCATGTGGTATATAAAGGTTGAGCCCTTTGATATCTTTTGTAAATGTCGTAGATCAAAAACTTGCATAGAATAAAATGGTTTGTTCATGCTTCCAAACCATAATGGAAGAACAAGTTTGTTAGATAAGTAAATTTTATAAATAACAAGTAATCCTTCCCTTGACAAACCTGTTACAGAGCTGCCAAATGAGCAACATCAACTTTTTTAAGCTCTTATATATCAGCACCTCCAAATGAGAATATATATATTAAATTTTTTTCACACATTACTCTTAGCTCTCACATAGTGATGTTAACACACGTGAAACTGGCCAAAAAGACAGACTGTCAGTTATAGGAGCAAAGGTCAAGAACGTGCTGAATACAGCGTCCGACTACATGATCAGCTTCTAATCCAGAGTTGCTTATTATGTTTGACACTAATGACTGTGTAGTCAGTGGGTAAATTGGAGATAGCTGAAAATGAGAGGAGTCATCAAATATTTTTAAGTAAATGAGTGACATGATAAAAATTTGAGAAAGGGAACTGATTTCAATGTGAAGCATTTGAAGTGGTAGTAAAACCAGTCAAGAGGCTGTTGCCTGACTCTAGGTAAAAGATGAGAAGGGACTGAATTGGGACCAAAGGAGAGGCAAGATTTCGAAACTATCACAAAGGTAGAATTGAGAGGACTTAGTGATCAAATGATGTAGACGTTGAAGAAGAATAGTCTCAAGATGACTCCATTTTCCAGTTTGGATGGCCTGTTGGGTGATGTTCTTAATGAAGACGAAATTAAATAGGAGAAACAGGTTTTGAAGAGAATACAATGAGTTCAGTTTTGATGGTTGAGTTTGAAGGGCCAGCAGAAACCCACAAATGGGTGAGACTAGCGAGTAGTTAGAAATGTAACTCTGGGGCTCAGGTGAAGTGTCTGGGCTAGAAACAGAGGATTGGGCATCATTAGAGTCTAATTTATTTTAAGATGTGATAAGCTATATCAGTATACCTGTTCAGAGGAAAAAGAGCAAGGACTGCAGTCTGAATTCTTAAAAATATTAACAGTTAAGGAGCAAGCGCTACTTGGTGACAGGAAAGAGAGAATATTTAGAGAGCTGAGAGAATTCATAATCTTGGATGCCATAGATGAGAAGAGTTTCAAGGAATGGTGAGTGGTAATTAGTGTCTATTGCTACAAACAGGTATTTTCTAAAAAGAAGCTATGGAATTTGGTGAATAAAAAGTCAGCTTTGGCCAAAACTGGAAACAGCCCAAATGTCTATCAACAAGAGAATAGGTAAATCAATTGTATATCTTGACACAATGGAATACTACTCAGCAATTAAAAGGAATGATTACTGCTATACTCAACAACATGGATCAATCTCCAAAACATGGTGTTGAGTGAACAAAAACCCAGACACACAAAAAATACATACTGTATGATTCCATTTATATGATAACCAAGAATTGGCAAAGCCAATCTCTGGATGATAGAAAGCAGAATGAGGATGCCCCTGGGGGTGGTGGGAGGGGTTGTGGTGGTGGGGAGGATTGACAGTAAAGGAGCACAAGAAAACTTGCTGATGTGAAGAAATATTCTTTGTCTTGTTTGAGGGTAGTTACAATTGCCAAAACTCATTGAGCTGAAAACTTAAGGTCTATGCATAATCAGAATACAAAAAAAGTCATTGGTCAAAGATGGGAGATTGAACATCTGAATTTGCTCACTTCTAAATTCCCACTAATTTACAGAGAGACATTCCGTTACAAAAGCAAATGTCCATACAGAGAGAGAGAGATCACAACTACAAAATATTCAAAGCAGAAAACCAGAAATACATGGTAGAGAACTTAGCAAGCCCAAGAAATGAAATCTAAGTGGTCAGTGGAGGAAGTAATAAAATAACTCAGTTTGCCCTACAGAAATCCTAAAAAGCTGGAAGTTGTGGGAAGTGAGGTTGAAGGTGGGCTAAAAAGAAGAGGGTTATTTGAATTCTATTTTAAAGTATATACAGCCTTCCATTTACTCCCCCAATCTATATCTAGGTGACTTCTCTCCCCCATCATCAGTACAGACAGAAGTTTATTCCTTGGAGAGGCTAAAACAGAAGTTCCCTAGACTGGGGGACATCAGACAGAGTTGAAGGTGGGATATGCTATTGAAAATGGGGCTTCAGTGGTAGTCTACCTACATTCTAAATATTGAGGTTCCCAGGCCTCTGTTGTAACTTGGCTCCAGAATATTGGAAAACACACTCAAGAAGAATCCAAGTTCTGAGAAACATGATAAACCTATGATTTAAAAAAAACAAGGGTAGCAGACTCCAACTAGAACAGGTCAGAAGGCTCTGAGAGAGTCATGTCTAAGGAAAGTGAATTAATAGGCTATCTGATATGTTTTAACACACTTAGATATTTAGATAATTGGGGAAGCATTTGAGTTTGAATTTAGGCATAATTACATCAGAAACTAAAGAAGCAAATAAACAAGATGTTATTGATTCTTAGGATAATGAAAAGTTGAGAATAAAAGAAAAAGTAATCAGAGTATGATATACGTGTGAATAGTATTTACATAGGTACAATAAACACTGAATATTGATTTATCAAAAAATTATGAAATTATGACATAGCTATAGTTATAGTGAAGGGTGGGAATAAGTAGTAAAAAATAAATAAATCTTCATCTTTCATAGAGCAAAGTCAATAGACAGTGACTTAAACTGAAAAATCCAGAAGAAACAGCATAAGCATGTTGTTAGAGGTAAACACCAAAAGAAACGGTTCAAAGAGTTGCTTTCAAAGAGCAGTAAATGGAAAAGGACATGAGGGGTCATTTTTGACTCTTTAAACTGTGTGCATTCAATAACCATGATTTTAAAAAGTAATCAAATAAAACAAAATAGTAAAGGTATGTGCAAAGAGAATTTCATGAAACCAGATTGTAGTTGGTTGAAGAGCAAATGAAAATTGAGGGTCTTCTCAGCAAACTGAGAAGTAGAGGAAGGGAATGTTGAGGGAGGGAGTATAGTTGCTTGAAGAGAGATTGGAAGGAAAATTGCTAGGTTGCTTGATTATGGTTATTTAGGTAGCTAAATAATTGGTTAGTCAATTTGTTCAAGACAGGGATGAGCTTAAAGAGAAGAAAGCGGTTGAGAGAATTTGCTGCGGTAAGAGAGAATAAAGGAGTGTCGAAGTCCCAGATGAAGTGGTGGACGCTGAAATCAGAAACAAGGTTAAAGGGTGAGCTATGAAAAAGAATAGGAACATGTTGTTTTTCGATGATGTTGATGGAAAGGATTATGAAAAGAATTCATGTCTAATAGCTTACATTAAGCTATATTTTCTCATTGGCATTGGTGGCAAAGTCATCTGTTGATGACTGGGATCTTTTTCGTGATCTGATTTTGGGAGCCAACTAGAGAAATAAATGAAAGGAATGCTGAGTAGCAATTTGGGGAGCCCGGCTGAGGATGAAAATCAAAATGTATTTATTAGTCAGCATGGGCTGCCCTAACAAAACACCACAGATTGAGAGTCTGAAATGACAGGCATTTATTTTCTCACAGTTCTGGAGGCTGGAAATTCCAAGTAAGGTGCATATAGGGTTTGGTTACTGGTAAGAACTGTCTTCCTGGCTTGCAGACAGCCACCTTCTCACTGTGTCCTCACGTGACTGAGAAAGAGAGAGCTCTCTGGTGTCTCTTCTTATAAGGATACCAACTCTATTGGATCAGGGTTCCACTCTGTGACTTCATTTAACCTTAATTATTTCTTACTCCAAATACAGTCACATTTGGGAGTTAGGGCTTCAACACATGTATCTTGAGGGGACACAATCAGTCCATAGCATGGATAGTTCAGCACTGTAATGTGAGTTATTTTTCCATTTATACCCAGTATCCCAAGAGCAGGAGAGAAGACAAATGGTCAAATTCACCCAAATTTGGGAACTAGCACGATAGAAGATCAAGGTGGCAAATGAATTGAATTGGTGAAAGTATGGCTAAAATGATTGACGATGGGTTTCCAGGAATGGTGGAAAGAGCCAGGACAGGGCCAGGTCTAGATTAGGGGCAGGCATGGGTAGGCTTCACGGCAGAGCCCTCTCAGGTCTGGAGCCTGGAGAACCGATGGGAACTCTTCTACTGCGTTCCTTCTGTGGGTGCAGTACTTTCCTGGGATGTAACTGGTGGTTTCTGCACTGTCAACTTCACTGGCAATATTTGAAAATTATCAAACTGGACAAAAAAAATATTTAGGTTCATTATTGGTAGCAATCATCACATTTTTCTTTCTTTTTAGACGACTAAATACGTTGAACAAGTGTGCCTCAATGAAACTTGATGTGAACTTCCAAAGGAAAAAGGTAGGTGTCTACACCTTACTAAGACCATGGCTATCCCAACAGAGGAAGCTTGCATTCACAGATTAAAAACTACGTGAACCTAAACAAAATTCTGAAATGCCCAGACATCTATCTTTGTTCTCCAAATGTCCCATCTTATCGTAACCGTCATAAATAAGTCCGTCATAAACCCAGGCTGATGTCTGTTTGTTCCACTGTTTCATTGTGCTTTAGTTTTTATCAGAGGGGTTGCATAAAGTTGCAAAATAGCTTAATTCTTTGTGGTACTTTTTCAGAAGTTTGTTTCGTTGTAAATATCCATTTCGTATTAGACTCAAGTACTCCACAGTGATTAGTAGATTAAGAGAATGCAGAAAAGAATCTATGGGTCTCTGCCAAGTATCTTCTGCTTCATTCTTTCCAATAGCATTTCATTTCCAGATGCATTCATTCTCAGGCGGGTTCATTTCGTAACGGCTGAGGGGTCAGGGAGAGTGTAACAACAAGAGGCTGCATCTTTCACCATTCTTCCACTGCTCTTTTCTCTAGTCACAAAGAATTCCGTTCAGTTGTAAGAGTCACCGCGCTGCCTCCCCCCTTCTAGGAATTTGCATGTGTGCTTCCCACCATGAGAATAAGACTGGAGATCTCAGTTTTGGAATAAAGCTGTACTTTATTGAGCACTTACTGTTTTCCAGGAGCTATGTTATGAAGTTACCATTCATGTTCTCATTTTATCCATTGAGGTAGGAACTCTCTCTTTTCCAGATAAGGAAAGTAAAACTTGAACAGATGAAGTCATTTACCCACAATCTTTCAGCTAGTGGCAGAGCAGGGTTTCTACCGTAGGCGTGTCTCACTCCGGAACCGAGGCTCCTAACCACTGTGTTGAAAGACCTCTCTTTCTCACTGAATTGATCCTTTTAGGAAGTTCAGAATTAAGATCATTAACTACATTTTTCACTTCACATCTCCAATATGTAACAAGTCAAGCCTCAGTATATTTTGAAGAAGCAGAGAAAACATCTTTGAGTTAAAAGAAAGTATTCTTTATTCTGGGCTACACAGAGAAATCATTAAATCCAATGGATTTTAAGTCACTCCTGAGTAACCTAATCTTTAAAAATAACTTTAACCTGAGTTTCTGCTCTAAAATAGCACCCCCCCAAAAAAGCAAATGAATTTTGGTTGACCTCACCTTCAAAACAATTTGGAGTTTGAGTTAGGAACCAAAGATTTAAGCTTAGGAGGTGAAACGGTGAAAAACAATATCCAGAGAAATATTAAAACATAAGCAATTTGTCCAAGCCAAAGACAAATTAAAAATGTGGGAATAAACGCCCCAACAGCTGTCTGGCTGAATAGACCCCTTGAGAAGCATACATACTATTTGAGGCATGAGGGTCAGATGTTGTTTTGCTTGTAACACATGGTTCTTATTAAACTGAACACAGCCACGCCTGTGTGTCTAAAGTGTGGTTGGTCTATACGGCTGCTCATACAGATCTTTAGCTGCAGCGTATTACCAAAGAAAATGCCCAAAACTAATGACATGATTTGTTTTCAATCAAGTGGGATGATTGGACTCTTACCTTATCACCAGCTTTTCAAAACCCATATGTGGGATAGATGCGAACCACATTTGTTAGGCTATTTATGTGTTACCTTCACCAAAGCGCCTCTGTAAATTGGTCGCTTCAGTATTCTGACATTCTTAATTTAGTCCTTCTGGTGAATATAGCAGAACACACCCTCACAGCCCCTACTTTGCTATAGGCCTCACAATGCATGCCCTGGAGTGAAATATTGCTTTTCACGTTGTAAATTGGGGAGTCATGTCCTCAATTTTCAGATAAATAATTCCAACATGTGGTCTCCACCCACTTGTGAATCTCAATAATGACCTACATCTGGGGGCTGTGGTCTAAGCAACGATGCAGGAGACCCGTGTGGTGGCACGCATTCTCATGATCTGCCCCTTACACAAGTCATAAGCTAGTCCTTTATTTTACTGCAAAAAAAAATAAACACAGGCTAGGAATAGGCCAAATGATCAAAAATAGAAAGTGAAACTTGAGAACTGAGCACCACAGGAAGCTTCAACCAACTTTGAAATTAGTTTATTTGGAAGAAAAATAAGACAGCAGCATTTCTTCTAGGTATGTCCCCATTTTAAGCAATCCAAGAAATAGAGATAAAATGCACTTCCCTAATCTGGATTGGCTCAGATGTGTAATTCTGCAGAATGTCATCCCCAAATGGCATAACTGTCCATGGTCACAATCATTCTGCTCCCTTCAGAGCTGCAGGGCCTTTGAAGGGCTATGCTTGCTTGCTTAGCAGTCTGTGTGGTCGGCGAACACTCACACAGTGCATACTCCATGCCAGGCACTATTCCTCTTCATTAGCTCCATGTCACAGATGCAGAAATTGAAGGGCAGAGAAGCTAAGTAACTTGCCCAATGCCACACAGAAATAACAGAGGCAGGATTTGAACCCAGCTATTCTGGCATCATCCGCCCCTTCTTGCCTTTCAAAGATATTCAGAAATGTATTGGTGTCTAAGTGAGCTTCTGGCCCTTGACCTGACACCTGGAAGTGTTTCCTCAGCGATACATACAGTTACATATTTTTCTTGTTGTTTTTAGAAGAGGCATATTTCTTGCCATCTGTACTACAGTCCACAATGAATGTCTTCCTGGAACTTTATCTCTGCATCTCTCGCCATGATTGAATCATGAGCCTCATTGCCCTGCTTTGCATTTGGTTCTCATTTGATTTTGTTTAATTCTGAAGAGTTTGGTGGGCTGACCCAAGAAGGAAAAAAAGTCCACAAATGGACGAGGATGGTGAAACCTCATTCATACTTAGTTAGGCGTGTACTTTTCTTGTACATCAAATGCCACTTGTAAAGCCCTTGGAGAAACGAAATCACATCTGCTCTCCCACAAGATAGTACCTTAACATTTTTCAAAAGAGAAAAGTGGTCCCTTAAAGATTCAAGATTACCTGCCCTGTCTCTGTGAGAATCAGGTGGAAAAGGGTGTTCTCAATCTTGGCCACACGTCTCACTGAAAGACTTCCTAAAACCCAACCAAGGGGCATTTCCTGAGAGCCTGATGACACCAGGAGTTCCCCAGCCCCTGGCTTCAGGCTCCTCCCACTGCAACACCGCAAGTGGCACATCCCTGCCTCGGAACAGCAGACTCAGCCGCTCAGCTCCAGTTAACTGTAACGGAAGATACACTTCTAAATTTCTATGTAACTACGGATTAGCTGCCTCTTGCAGCTGTGGATTCGTGTGGGCTCCTGTTTCCAGTGTAAAGATATAGTCAAATTCCATTTAAAAAAAAAAAAACATAAACCTTTCCTTTTGCAGTGTCTGGTTCACATTTGTCTCTGAGGCATATATAATTTCAGCTAAGAATGTTCTCATTTTTAGAAAAAGCCAAACATCAGAGAGTCATCTAATTTAAAATCTTCAAGGCACATGCAAAGCTACTTGTTCTCAGCAGCGTTTCTTCTGCATCATTACCTACAAAATTCACGCTTGCTTCATGGCGACATTGAAATCCCCTAATTATGGTTAGTGTTTATGTGATACAACTCCTATTCAAAGTTAAAGTCAGAGACTGAAGACTCCAATAAGGCTATCTATTAAATGAGGAAAGAGAAGGACATGTCCGCACACAGGACTCTTACCTAAGAAGAGTTCCCAAGAGAGAAAGAGTGGCTTCAAAAGGAGGTTGTGGTTAATGTTGTCGTTTAAACAGAGCTCTCTGAAATCATGACCAAAGCTGGAAAGCAGCACAGAAACCATGACTAATTGCCACTTGCGGCCAGTGCCCCCTGGCCTGGATTCATCTGCGTTTCAGAGGAGCCGCAGCTGTTGTCAAGGGGCCTGGTCTCCACCCCCGACTGCCTTTCACACCCCCGCATCTCCCACCAAATAAGACATCTCCTGACAGCTCCAGACAGCAGAGTGGAGTGAGAGAAAAATTCCATTTCATTCCAGCATTCACTTGGCCTGAGAGTATTAGTCTCAAATTGAAGATAATTACACGTGAATGTCCTAGAACCATAGGATCTTCCAGTTGGAAGGGATCTTCAATCATCTTTCCATCCACTTCCATCCACTATAGGATTTACTTCTTAGAACATCCCTTACAATTCACCCAGCCTCTGCTTGTAAGCATCTAGACCTAGACATGATGAGTTCATTATATGGCAAGGCAATTTATTTATTCTGATTACTAGAAGTCTTCCATATAATAAACTAAAAGCTGACTCACTGTAACTTGGCTATCTGATTCCGGCTCTTTTCTCTGGAGAAGCACGGAATATGGATTTCCCCTTTCACACAGTGACCTTTAGACCCAGGTTGGCAAAATACTGCTCCAGGTTTTGTAAAGAAACTTGTATTGGAACAAAGACACACCCGTTCTTTTGGCTACAGCAGCAGAGTTGATTAGTTATGACAGAGACCGTATGGCCCGAAACTTAAAATATTTATTATCTGACCCTTGACAGAAAGTTTTCTGACCTCTGTTCAATCTAGAACAAAGTTTCTCAAACCGTCTGTGGTGATTTTTTTTGTTTGTTTTCTTTTTAATTTCCAGTCTGCCACTGACCAACATACTTTTGTAGCATTCATTACAGATGAATTATTAGAAATATGAAATGAAAAAAGGTTATAGAAAATACAAGCCTAAACGCTTTATTATTAGACTCAACAGACACAAAATTGCATCCCAATAAATATAATCAGAACAAATATAACAGGAAATAGAAAAGAATGACAAAAATTTTTCACTTTTTTTATTGAAAGTGTGCATATAGGCAATTAATATGGAGAATCATGATTTCACTCGTAACTTTTTTGTTTTTTGGCTGTCAGAACTAAACAAGAGGTTTACTTTGAAATAGCAATTCCCCATATTATATGCCTATATGCACACTTTGATCAAACGCTATGACGATGAGTATTCATAACAGTGAGTTTCTTGTTTGTTATTTAATTT